TTCAGAACTCCTGCTGGAGTCATTCTTGCCCGGCGTTCACAGTGCCCGTGTTCAGCCAAGATCCCTGCCCCAGCCTGAGAGCGGATGCACTTCGCTGAGGGCGAATGCCAAAGCTGTCAGACATGTAAAAGGTTCGTCAGTTGCACGATGCAGAAGTGGAAACCCTGCAATCATAACCCACTAGTACCAGCCCCTGCAGCAAATGTAGATTGGTGCAGGCATGATGCTAGGGACGCCCCCAGGGCCCGTAGCAGGCAGGATGGGCCACATTATGTTCCACTTCCACAAGCCACGTGGCGCACATGGACCCATTCCAATTGGTGCAACAACTTGCAGAGCAAAGTGCTGCTCAGCACGAGTAAGGGGGTCTGAATCCGAGCGTCAGTGATGATCTCAGCGCTTGCTTGGCCCTTGTTAGACAAGGATTTCTTCTTCTTTTTGCAGGTTCCAGATGGCCAATAAGGGGACTGTGGCTTTGGAGTACTCCTGGAAGGTGGGCATGGAGGACAGCAGAAGGGCAGTCAACTTCCCTGAAGAACTGTTGCCGTGCAGTCCTGAAGGTATGACAGTCGGCCTCCTCCCCCTCATCTGGCGCTCCCTGCCGCAGCCTCCTCCTGGCACCCCAGCACTCAGGGACTGGTCTGGGCCTCGTTGCCAGAGGCACCAACCCCAGCACAGTTCTGAAGATGATGTGAGAGTTTTGGTGCCCTCCCCGTGTCCTCCCCCATCAGCCTCAGGCAAGTGGCTTCTTTCAGGTCTGAAGAAACTTGTCCTTTTTGTCTTTCCTGCCCCCCACCTTCGGAGTGCCCAGAGCTGCTGTGGCAGAGCTGCCGGGCACTCTGGAAAGGTCCGCAACAGCCAAAGAGGTCTAGGGAGGAAGTTGTTTGGGGAGGGTCAGGAGCTGAAATGGGAGCATGGGCCAGTCGTGTGGGAGCACCACGGGGTGATGGAATCAAGGGGGCATAGGTGGGAGCGGGGTTGTTGTTGGAGGTAAGCAGGGATGAACGTCTTTAAGTGATTGTTCAAACAAACAAGAAAAGAAAAAGATGCCAAAATACCCGGTGCGAGGCCAAGAGGTCGCTGTTCCCAGCACGAGCGCCTGCATTTGGAGTCATCACTCAGCATTTTACAGCACGAATTGTAGAACTGTGAGGCTAGAAGGGACCTCGAGAGGTCTCCTGGTCCAGACCTTTGCACAGAAGTCAAGCTGCCTGGTCTGTATTTCCCTGTGTTGTCCTTAGTCCCCTTGTTCTAGATGGACTCTGTACCTTCCCTCCAGCTGATCCCGGGCTTCTGCAGCACTGCCCCTTTGAAACGCCGCCGCCGCATTTCAAGGGGGCAGTGCACGTGATTAATCGCGATTCATTTTTGTAATCGTTTAACAGCCCTACTGGAGATATTGAAGGGCAGGTTGGACAGACATCTCTCAGGGATGAGGGCAGGGGACTAGACTCGAGGTCCCTCCTAGTGTTCTATGGCTCTAAGCCGTGGTCCTGACCGATACTCACATAGCCTCGGTCACAGAGGTTTCAGGCCAGCGAGTTGTGGTGTCTCTGCATTTTGGTGGCCTGCCCTTCCCTGGAATTGTTTAGGTTTTTCAGCGTATGCATCCCTGCAGCTGCCCCGTTTCCCACCATCCCTTGGCTCTCACTGGAGGAGGTATTAATAAGAGGCGCTGCAGAAGCGACGCCATGAAGTGCCATTGCCCCTTTCATTCTTCCTGGAAAGGGCTTGTGAAGAGGGGCTGCCTTTGTGGGTCTCTAAGCCTGATCCCCTCAGCCTTCTCTCCATCACACTGAGGCAAGGGGTCAGGGCTCACGGACAGTCCCAGGGAATGGACCTAACCACCCATTCCTGAACACAGGGGAACTCCCATTTGCCACGTCTGCTGTCTCCACCAAAATGCCATGCAGCCGCCCTGCTAGCCAGCACGGCAGTGTTCTGGAGAGTGTCTCGTCCTTCATGTTCGCCGTGGCTGCTCTGCCTCCATTCTCCGTGGAACCCAGCAGTGGCATTATTCCAGCCGGGAAGAAGCAGCAATTCCTGTTGAAATTCTCCCCACTGGAGGTGGGAGAGTTTGAGGGCCACATATTCTGCAGGTAGGAAGTGCTCAGGGTGGATGGCAGCTTGACAAGTGTGAATGATCGTCCAACGGGCCGGGGTGTAAAGAGGGTTTGGTGCTGTGTGAAATGGATGAGCCACGAATGCAACTGAGGAAAGCTCAGGCCTCTAGAGGGCATCAAAAGCCTGCTGCCTGTTGCATCCCAGCGTGCAGGCCATTAGCCCTGGCGCCAAGCCCGTGCCATCCCGTAGGCTGTTTGGTACTGGGGGGAGATGGTCAGCAGGGGAACCTGAAACAGTGGGAAAGCTGCCCTCAAACAAATGTTAACCAGCTGAGCACTGGATACAAAGAGAGCCTGCCCCTTTGCCTGGCTTGTACCATTCTGGGGACTTACACCAAGGGACCGTGGGGATGGGGAGTCACTTGAGCCTCAAGAGGTCTGATCACTAGTACTGGCTTTTGGGTGTTCCATACTGAGCCACCAGCACAGCCTCCGTGTGCTTAGCAATCACTAAGGAGTTACTGCCCACTGGGGAGTTACTGCCCCTTCGCTGTCACACCGCTGAGTGAGCTGCCATTGCACTCGCTGCTGAGTGTGTCTGCTGAGAGACAGGGTGTGAAACCTCCGCCTGGGTCACACTGCTCCATTTCTTCTCAGCATCCCCAACCTGAAGCCCAATCACCAAGGCCCCGTAGTAGCTGTGACGGGGAGAAGCCTCCTTCCATACTGCCACTTTGAGCTGGAGGACTCTGACTACCTTGCCACAAGCAGGCACAACCCAGAGTTGCAAGGGTCCCAGGGTGCTGCGCTGGATTCCACCGCCAGGGTGATTGAGTTTACGTCCCTCGGAGTGCACACTCGGAGCAGCAGGTGGGTGTGGGGAGTGTTTGACCAGCTGACTTGTTGCCACAAATCAGCCGCTATCGGCTCAGTCTTCTAGTCTCCTTGTGGCACAGGTGCTGCACTGTTCCTGTGCTCCCAATGGACCACCTATGCTTCTGGGCAGACAAGAGCAACATAGATTAGCCATCTGTTCTTCTCCCATCCAGTCCTGCCACAAACGTTGCTGGTCCCCTGTCAGGGCTGTTCCCCACTCTGGCACTTCGAGTGCAGAAGGTGGGGGCCCGCAAAGACTTTAAATATACTTTGCCTCTACAGGCTTTGGTTACAGAAACTCCCCCAGAGTCACGGATTCACTGACTTGGGAGGGGGAGGGGAAGTAGCTGCCACCAGCAAGTGATGTTATCCCTAAAACCAGGGGCAAACACTTGAATTCTTCCTCAGGGGTACCCCAAGCTCTTTTGCCCCAAAGAACTTGAAAAAAGAAAAGAGCAAAACAAGCTGCAGCCTCTGGTAGCTGACCTCTTGGTCTGAGGCCTGCAGACACACACAGACAGACAGTCCTCCTGTACTTTCCAGGGCACCAGAATCAGAGCATCGCCTTCAAGAAGTGATTTTTATTACAAAACAAAAGATAAACTGGAGAGCGCAGACTTGGTTGCTAGGTGTTACAAAGCAACTGGGGAAACCAAATGAAACTCTGGGGACAATGCTTAGCTGGTAAATGGGAAGGGGAGGCAGAGATTCACCAGTCCAAACCAAACCACCAAATAAAGAAAAATACTCGGATCACAACTAGATTCGCTTCCCTCCCTTATTTATTCACAATCTTCTCTTGGTTCAGTCCACTTCCATGCCCCAGATTCCTTGGAGGCCTGGTAATCCTGCCTGGGTTTGAATCATTCTGTGTCTCTCCCACACACAGAAAGCAGGCAAGGTATCTAGCTCTGGGTCAAACTTCAGCTCTCTTAGCTCGCTTGGTTCTCCTGGTCCCTTGCCAACACCCTTGCTAGCTACCGGAGTTTAACCCCGTAGTCACTGGGTGCTGGTCAGCACGCCTCCTATCCATCACATCCCCAGATCCTAGGCATGGGCGAGCGCTTTTCTTTTCTTTTCTTTTCTTTTCTTTTCTTTTCTTTTCTTTTCTTTTCTTTTGTGACTGAATATGTCAGTTAGACTGGGACAGCGAAGGAAACAACCCTCTAGAGAGCCCCGCTTCATAAGGAGCCTTGCCATGTGGGGTTTGACCCTCATCACGCCAGCCCCAGGGTCTGCAGCAGGCTGACCTCAGGGTCTCTTTACAGGTGGTAAAGGTCTCCAGCCAGCCTGGGAGCAGGGCTTGCTCCAGAACTGGAAATGGGATGGAACTGCCATGCCTGTAGCAGTGGAAGTCCATGGGGGTACCAAGCAGTCCCCGTGGAAGAGCTGGCAGTGTCGCAAGTCTGCTGAGCAGCCGAGCCGCTAGCTCCCAGTACAAACAGTACCAGTGTTCCCTTTCTAATGGCACTTTCTGTTTGGTGTGGCCAGGACCTTCATGCTTGTGAACCCCACCAATTCCACCTACTCCTTCCAGTGGGTTTGCGAACAGCCAGAAGACCTACAAGAACAGCCGGTCTTCAGCTGTCTGACAGAAATGGGCCAGATCCGGCCTGAGAAGAAGGCAGAGGTAGGAGGGAAGCTGACCCCGGGGTGTCTCCCAACGCTGTACAGATCTCATGCTATGCACCTTGTGACTCTTGCACAGCCCTGTAAAGAGCTATGCTTGTTTCAGCTCTGCAGGTGCAGGTAGTGCCAACTTGCATCACTTCCTGAGGGGAAGGCATGGGGAGGGACTGAAAGAGGGAGGGCAGCTTAAGTGTTGTCTGGGCTATCCTTGGTGTCCCATGGGTTGAGTGTGCCCTAGAGATTGCTGGACTCAACACGTCTCCTGGTTACCATAGTCCTGCCCACTCACTGGCTGACCCGTCTATGCTAAAGGCTGCTCACGGGAAAGCCTGCAGGCATTCATTCCTCAATGAGGCCATGGTTTGCACAAGGTCCTGAAGAGCTGAGAAACCCTTTGTGCTGTGCCGGTAGAGCAAGGGAGTGGTGCCTGCCACACCATAAGAACATGGCCATTCTGATCAACCCCAGTGCAGCTCCAGTCCACGAATCTGAGTGTGCCACAGCCTTTGAGCTGTGCAATGAGGGTGTTCTGTAGCATGAGCCATAGAGGGTATAACACTTGTCCCATTCCTGGGTGCCATACAGTCTGGTGTATCACCCATTGCACCACCACTCCATCAGGAGTCACCTGATTGAATTCCCTCTCTTCCTCAGGTCACGTTTGCATTCGTCCCTCAGCACCTGGGCATCACAGAATCATTTTGGACCTTCACAATTCCCGAACACAACATCTCAGTCCCCTTCCTGTTGGTCGGCAACACCACTGACCCCTCAGTTTCTCTGGACAGATCCCACCTGAACTATTTCTCTCTGTTAGTCGGTGAGGACAGGCTCTGTGTCCCGCACTGGAGGGCTATGGCAGCGGCTGCCTCCCACGTCTCCCTCCGTGCAGAAATGCAATGTCACTGGTGACCCTAATTCTGCTATTTAACGTATTCGAAATAGAGGCTGGAAGCAGCAAAGAGCGCTTCAAAGAAGCAAAGTAATTTCTGTCCTCGTAGCCTAGATGTCATACTGTTGCCCATCACCGTAGTGTCTGGAATTTTCCATGTCAAATCAATAGCAATGGTCAGCAGGAGTCAAAAAAGCTAATGTTAGGAACCCTTCGGAAAGGGATAGATAATAAGACACAAAATCTTATATTGCCACTATATAAATCCATGATACTCCCATGCCTTGAATTCTTCAAGGTCCAGAGAAGGGTAACAAAAATGATTAGGGTATGGAACAGCTTCCCGATGAGGAGACTTTAAAAGACTGGGACTTTTCAGCTTAGAAAATAGATAACCAAGAGGGAGGGATCTGATAGGGGTCTATAAAATCAGGAATGTAGGTACCCAGGGTCACCTGATGAAATTAACAGGCAGCAAGTTTAAAACAAACAAAAGGACTTCATGCATTGCACAGTTAACCTGTGGAACTCATTGCTGGGGGATATTGTGAAGGCCACAAGTGTAACTGAGTTCAACAGAGAATTAGATAAGGGGTAGGGTTAGGAAGATAAGTCCATTGGTAGCTGTTAGCTAAGATGGCAAGGGATGCCACTCCATATTTGGGGTGTCCCAGGACCTTTGGCTACCAGAAGCAGGGAGAATATGAGAGAGGATTGCCCAATTCTCTTCATTTCCTCTGAAGCATCTGACACTGACCACTGTTACAAGACGGAACTTTGGGCTGGATGAACCATTGGTCTGACCCAATGTGACTGTTTTTATGCTCTTAACTAGCAAAGGTCATAGTTGATTTCATGCAGCTTCTGGCATTTCACCTTTTTCAGGCTCAGAACTTTGCACAGGGTGGTGTTGAGGAAGGGTTTTGTCTGTTTTTTACAGATGTTATTAATTTACTCTTCTTTGTGTTAGGTTGGTAGGGGCTGAAGGGTAGAAGGGGTGTCAGATTTCAAATATCTCAAGCAAAGTTGCTCATTACTGGTGAGGGTGACACCGGACCTGGAGGGTGGATTAAAGAAAAGAACTCAGATTTATTCCTAGTGCTTCTGTGGTCAGCTGAACACCAACCCATCCACCCATTCACCAGTACATTATGTAAGTGTCTTGAGAGGTTGGTCCCATGGAAAGGTTTTATTGGCCTGTATCAGAAGTGAGTGACTTTCCCTGGTAATTCCAGCTGAGAGCCTGCCATCCACATGCACTAACCGACATTAGCTGCTTTCGGAAAACGTTTAGAGGTTTGGAAATTTTTGTCAGAGCTCTGTTTCCCATCCTGTCTCCTTGCTGATTACATGTCATGGAGCTCTGCTGTTAAATGGATGGTTTATCTCCACTGCAGCTGGTAAGACGCCTCACAGCCCAGAGAAGCGGGAGCCCACTTGAGCTAGTGTGCTAAAAACAACACAATGGCGCTACTGGAGACGGGCTGGCCACCCAAGCTCAGACCAAGTGGTGGATGGGCCGGAGGGCACTGCCACGGCTACACTGCTGTCTTCAAAATGTTAGCTTGTCCCTCAGTGGGCTGGGAGGGTTTATCTCCCCTCCCGGGTTGACACCCCCTTAGTCCTGGGCTGTGTGTTTGCACAGTGCCTAGCCTGACAGGTCCCAGTGCAGGCCCAGGGTTCCGTGGTGCTACCACAATGCAAACTATAAGTAATAGTGATGAGGAGGGTACCGAATTCTGGGTTAGCTTGGACGTGATGTTTCCCACACTCAGCTCTATGAGAAAGTCGTGTTGTTCACTAGTACGCCTAGCGATTCCCTCTGCTTGTACAGACCCTGGATTCACTCCACATTCTGCATTAATGCTCCTTCTGTACAGGAGCCCTTTGTACCTCAGCCCGTCTGCATGGTAAAAAGGCTCGGGCAAGCCCTGTGCTTTTTGGAGACACTGAGGGGTGGCTGTTTCCATGCTAGCCTGTCACGACAACTAAAGGTTTCCTGTCTCATTCCTGTGTCTCCCCCCAGGACATGAGGCCCGCCAGACGGTTCACATGATTAACAACGAGAACGAGGCCTTCAGCTTTGCTTTCAGAGATGGCTCACGCTATTCAGAAGGCTACATTAACTGCCTAACAGTGCAGCCCATGGAGGGCTGCATCCCACCTCTTTCCAGGTAAAGGAGGAGGGAGGAGCTAGGATGCCCTGGACCCCACCATGGCTCCCAGGCACAGTGCTGTATTCTCTGCAGCATTAGAGACCTTCCAATCATACAGGGGTTCATCTCTTGGCGCCAGCTCTTACCCAGTCAGCAGGTGGCTCTTGGTGGGGACACACTGGTCCCTCTTCTTACATGGTTGTGTCCCCATTTGTATTCAGGGTCCGATCGGCTGCCTTTAGCGATGAAAGCAGGTAGATGCTGGTTTCACTCCTGTAGCTGCAGGGGCATCTACACTGGAACAAAAGGTGTCATTCCTAGCTCAGTGAGACGTACCCACCTGGCTCCCACCAACCTAGTGCACTAAAAATAGCCCTGCAGCCGCAGCTGCCTTGGGGCTGGACAGGGTCACCACGCCAGCACAAGCCCTTCGAGGGCCTAGGAAGATGTGGCAGCTAGCCTGTCCTGCTGCCAGGTTGCAAGCTCAGTCAGAGTTCCACGTTGTAACACTCACCCTTTGCTCTGCTCTGCACTGATCAGGCCTCAGGTGAAGTCTTGTGTCCAGTGCTGGGCACCACATTTCAAGAAAGATGCAGAGAAATTGGAGAGGGTCCAGAGAAGAGCAACAAGAATGATTAACAGTCCAGAAAACAAGCGCTATAAGGGAAGACTGAAAGAACTGGGCTTGTTTAGTCTGGAAAAGAGAAGACTGAGAGGAGACAGGATAGCGGTTTTCAAGTATCTAAAAGGGTGTCACAAGGAGGAGGGAGAAAAATTGTCCTTCCTGGCCTCTGCGGCTAGCACAAGAAGCAAGGGGCTTAAACTGCAGCAAGGGAGGTTTAGGTTGGACATTAGGAAAACGTTCCTACCTGTCAGGGGGGTCAAACACTGGAATAAGTTGCCTGGGGGGCATGTGGAATCCCCATCCCTGGAGATAGTTAAGAGCAGGTTGCACAGACACCTACCAGGGATGGTCTAGAGGGTGCTGGGTCCTGCCGTGAGGGCAGGGGACTGGACTTGATGCCTCTCGAGGTCCCTTCCAGCATTTCCCTGACACTTTAACACGCTGGGTTAGATAAAATAATAATAAACAAGTTTATTCTAGAAAGCAGGGGTTTGAGCGAGTGCAAGCAATGAGGCAGTAAGTTAGAAAGTTTCAAAAATCAAGGTAAACCACTTGTCAACGCCTGTCCATTGGTTTGAGCAGCGTTCTCTCCGATTAGTGACCAAGCTCGCAGTCACGACCCTTTCCCCAGAGTCCAGCGTTTTCTTTCTGTCTCTTCAGGGGCACTGAATACAATGGGCAGAGAGAGGGACAGGTGCCTGCAGTGTGTCTCCTGTGTATGGTTTCAGTCCCTCTCTTGAAAAATGTTTCCAGCTGATTCCCAGGAGCCAGAGAATCAATCTATTTAGATTGTTGTTTCCTGCTGGTTTTGTCATCTCTTTGAACTTCCTTTGTCTTCCCTTCATGCTTGACGACTCTGTCCACTGCTTAATGCTCAGTTAAGACAAGCCACATTCCTATGGTTAGGACAGACCCGTGCTCCAGCATCGATTTGGGCAGTGCTGTGGGGTTTTGTAATGTGTTAATAACCTCTTACAGGTGAGTCCTATCACATCACAGGCTGTCTCGGCACATCATTTTCCAGGACAATCCTGACCAGCAAATTATGAGTTTGCCAGTGATGCCTCGCAAGGCATAGATCGTACAAAGGTTATTGCACTGGGGTGTGGACTGTGAATGCAGGATAACGTTCTCTTGTACCTATCTCAGGGTATGTCTACACTACAACGTTAATTCGAACTAACTTAGTTAATTAACTAATTCGAACTAAGCTAATTCGAACTAACGGATCCAGACTAAAAAACTAGTTCGAATTAGCGTTTTGCTAATTCGAACTAGCATGTCCACATTAAGTGGACCCTGAACCGGGCTTAAGGATGGCCGGAAGCAGTGCCGGCAGGGCATCAGAGGAGGACTTAGAGCGTGGAGATGCTGTCTCAGGCTAGCCGAGGGCTGTGCTTAAAGGGTCCCAACCCCCACCCCGGACAGACAGTTCTAAGGGGTGCCCCGCTTGCAAAGCAGTCCTGGCTTGGAGTGCCCGGACTACCCACACTGGGCACATCACA